TTAAAAAGTCACAAAATGCCAAACAGTTAGTTATAGGTATCAGTAGTCAACAAGATTATATCCACAGGTTTAGTGCTCGAAAGTAAACGAATTACAATAATTTCCAAAACTTCGTGATCAGAAACACCAGAGAAATGAGAGTTTTATGTAAATAAGCAATTATAGCGCACTAATCGAAAAGTGCGGTCCGGTCCCCTCTCTAAAATGAAAACAAACTCTGGATCTTCTTAATGAATAATGCATACATCTAAGAGTCGACAGATGAAGAGATAGACATCTTTACTGTTTTACTGTAATTCACTAATCGGTGTTTACAAATCCAATATAATGTTGGAGACATTCGATTGGTTGACTAATCAGATACATCTATGTAAATAAATAGAAAGTGAATAAAAATATGATGAAAGTAATTTCGAGAATTCGGAAATCTATAATAACCACACATATGGTAAGATAGAGGTGGAACGTTTCGAAATCTTCCTGTATGAAGACAAAATTAATAAATGAATGAACTGCATAATAGCAGAATGAAGTAAATTTTTACTGAGTATTCATAGTAATTCAAGTGATCCACAATGGAAAACTCACCGAGGAGTTTGGAGTAAACACAGGAGTCAGACAAGGATACTTATTATCACCAATGATATTCCTTATTGTGGTGGACTGACTGGATTATGCGTCAGACTGTGAGTGGGAAACGAGAAGACAGGGATATCCTGGACGGACGTGAAGAACTTAGAAGACCTGGATTTCGCGCGTGGATGATTTATGTTTGATGTCACACAAAATCGAAGACTTACAAGCGAAAACCGACAAACTGGTCGAAGAAGCAGTCGGCGAAGACAGGACTCCAGGTGAACATATACAAGACGGAGGTTATGAAAATAACCAGCAAACAACAACAACAACAAGAACAGCAACGTTCAGCGCCAATCACCATCAACAGGAGGGATTTGAAAGAAGTTACTTCATTCACTTATCTAGGGAGCATTGTCCTTCTCAACTACAGGAGGAACGGACGATGATGTCAAATCGAGTGAGAATCGGGAAGGCGAGAAACACATTCATCAACTTTAAACCAATCTGGAAGTCTTAGTCACTCAGGCATCATCAACAACAAAATTAGGTTGCATTTTCAATACAAACGTCAAGTCAGTCAGTTCTTCTATACGGATCAGAAACTTGGCGGACGGGTCACAAAGAATATTTCCAACAGCCTGTTGCATGCAGGCCTTCATCAACAACTGTCTTCGTTCTATACTGAAGATCAGATCAGGTGTACGGAAAGAATCACCAACAAGAGACTATGGCTGGGAACAAACAAAACAAGAACCAATCTCCAACCAACAAATATGCAGGAGACAGTGGATTGAGATGGATTGGACACTCGCTCACTGAGGAGTCCGCTGGGTGACATAGAGCGCGCGTCAGGCCATTGGTCGAGTGGAACCAGGCCGAAAGGGAAGCGGCGAGTGGGACGACGGTGTAAAGGTGGCATGGAGGAGATTGTGTGAAGAGGAGTTGAAACAGTATGGGCTAACTAACATGGATGGAGGTGAAAAGTACCGCAGAAGGAAGACAGAAGCAAGTGGAGACGTGCAGTTGAAGCCCTATGTTCCACTAGGAACCCAAAGGAATAATAATAATAATAATTCATGGTAATATTTGCAGATTTTGAACTTCATATTGCATTTCTAATCAACAACTCTGGCGACAATCCTCGACAACAGCTTTTCAAATGAAAGTAATTTACCAAAAGTTTGAAATTCAAATATTCTCATTCTATTACCATTGCCACGGGATGACATCCAATTGAATCAGAACACGAAGGAGTGGTGATGTTCCCACCATGGCTAGAACCCAGAGCCACCAATCAAACTTTAATTACATGCCCAGTCATCGTCGAAGCATCTGCACTTGATATTCTCTGGTTTTAGTCTTCACATTCCGCGTATTTGCGACATAACACAACCCGGAAGAAAGGCCCACGTCAGATTCTCTGAACATGCACCAAGGAGCATCCGGTTAAAGGAACCGGGCAGTTTAAGCTCTTCAACTACCAAACACTTAATAGACACTGGACACCTAGTAGACACTTTGGCAAATTCGAAATAATTAACAGACAAAATAGCTTAGGTCATCTTCAGTTTGCTGAGGATATCGTAATAAAACGACTGAAACCTGAGTTATGTGTCTAAAAGGAATCTGTCATTGGGCTTGACTTGTCTTGATGACTCATCTCGTAATAAGTCTTTGTTTTCTAAATTCATTAACTTATCTCTACAACCCCTCCCTTCTTTTTTTCTGCTTGACTCCCATAAGAGACAATTCTTCTTGACCTTATGATAGTACATCATCATCTGTTCATATGACCTCTCGCACATCAAATTTTGATCTTCTTTTTACCTAACTACGTTATTTTTATCACCATGACAAGCAACTTGTCAGGTGATTTTCTAGAGGCTTTCCCTAGTGTGATGTAAATGTATATTTACAGTTCCGCTGCCTTGTCGTCCTGATGTTTTATCTCATCATGATACTTATAATGTGCTTGTGAGACAGATTTGACCTATTAAGGTAGGTAGTTACCTGGGGTTCGAGTGAGAAGTCGTGACAAGTAGGGCGCAACAGGTCGGGTGTGAGGACAAATACTCACCGAAGACATTGGCTAGGGGTCGCGCTATACCGTAAATTGGCAGAAGTTAGAATTCATGTGCTGGCCATTGGATAGGATCTCAGTGGCTTAATGCTATACACGCTCGCCTTGTAACCAGAAAGTCCTGTGTTCGAACCCCTGTGGTGGATGCGTACTGCTGAGGAGTCCCAAAGTAGGACGAAGCAGCTGTCTAGTACTCCCGCAGGTTCTCCAATGGTTCTCTAACTGATGTCAGCTGATGATGAAATCCTGTAACCAATCAAATCCCTACAAACCAACACTTGAAGACAAAAGTAAGTTAAATTTTATACTGACTTTTATTTATTAAAGATTATGGGTGTAAACAGATGATGAGACCCAAAGAAATCAAATTGATCCGTGTTATTCTACACCAACAGTTTTCTAGCCTATGTTGGTTGATGATGATGGCTACCTGTAGGTAGTAAAGTTTCTTTAATAAGCGCCCATTTTCCGTCAATATGAGATGACTAATATGTCAACATTTGTCTCTAACCCAAAACCGAAAGCAGTAGAATTCTATACATAAACATCAAATATATTGTGAATTGAACACATCCTGAGGAGACTATTAAGTGACACCGCCCGCCAGGTCATCATTCTAATGGGACCCAAATAAAAAATGTCGAGTTGGGCTTGGAGGAGTTCGTCTGAAGAGGAGATGAGAGTTTGTGTGGAATCATGAAGTCAGCTGAAGGGGACTTCAGAGAACAGGACAAAATGGAGAAGTGCTATTGAAGCCTTATGTTCTACTCGGAACCTATAGGAATAATAATGTAATAAAACTGACACGTATCTCAAGAAATAGTATAATACTTTCAGGTCTGGCTAGCAGATATATCTGTAGAGGTGAATGAGCCTTCTGTTTTTCAAGTTATATTATTTGGACAAAGTTTTGAAATGAGGGCGTACAAACCTAGAAAACGGAGGTGTTAGCTTGTTTAGAATTGTAAAGGCTGAATTTCTACCAATCCTGAGCTCCACATCCTTTTCCTGAGCATGTTGGACAATGTTCAAGATGGTTACTGTGAGTTAGCCGAGTCGTCCTACCTATATAACTATCTCTACAAGAACACTTAAATTTATTCAAGTGTTGGTTTGTAGGGATTTGATTGGTTACAGGATTTCATCATCAGCTGACATCAGTTAGAGAACCATTGGAGAACCTGCAGGGAGTACTAGACAGCTGTTACGTCCTACTTTGGGACTCCTCAGCAGTATGCATCCACCACAGGGGTTCGAACACAGGACTTTCTGGTTACAAGGCGAGCGTGTAAGCATTAAGCCACTGAGATCCTATCCAATGGCCAGCACATGAATTCTAACTTCTGCCAATTTACGGTATAGCGCGACCCCTAGCCAATGTCTTCGGTGAGTATTTGTCCTCACACCCGACCTGTTGCGCCCTACTTGTCACGACTTCTCACTCGAACCCCAGGTAACTACCTACCTGAATAGGGCCAGTCGCTAGTGAGCATCTTAATTTTATAAATGCATACTGAAGTAGCCAAACTCATTAGCTTATCCCTCAACTGCATTGGAGTTATACAATGAGTGATGAATTTTAAACATACTGTTGCTGCAAAGAATGTTTTAGCTATAATTTTTCTGATTCACTAACTGCGTCTCTTTTGGATAATAAAGTCATCTATATATGCGTTTCTTCAGCACCATTTCCAGGCATTTCTCTTTGCCTGTTCACTTTATAATGACTATAACTAATTTTCTTTTTGGATATACGCCCTCGTATATTAAGGCTTTTATCTGCCTTATCTCATTGTTCAGAGTATCAGTTGTACAGATTTTTACAGCACGAAATATCAAGGCATTGACGAGGTGCATGAAGAGTCTTTATAATGAAGATTTTCCTAGACCGTTCAATTCAGAATGTATTGCTTATAAAAATCGACATCTATGCCTACTGAAAGTTATTCATTTTCACATCTGAACATTTATTATTTAACAGTAGTAATGATTATTAATTGATTTTACCTCTGTGTGTATCATGAATTTCAAGTGACTATTGAAATCATAAAATTAATATAACCTGATCTCAATGTAATAAAAAAAATGGGAGAAATATTAAGTAGTTATTCAATCATACACACATATACACACACATACATACATTTGTAATAGTATAGCATATACAAATATAGGTAGATACTGTTATAACAACGCCTACTCAAACTCTTTTTTTTCAACATGAAAATGTCCAACTTACTAATAGCAACTACAAAAACACAACCACAACTCAAAGTTGATAAAATAGAAAAGTATATATGCATCTACAGAGAGGCAGAGGAAACAAAAATGTATATACATAAAAAAAAAAAAATAGAAATTGACTTGATTCTATGCAGTATCTTTCCATCGAAGATTGTCATTTTGTTTCTTCATCTGCCTTTCAATGATTTAACTGGTTGAGTTGAGGATATTTTATTTATTGGTTCGCTTAAAAATAACCAATCCCTCTTTATAGATAGTAGGGAGATATTAACTTTGAGTAGGAAATATTATACCATCTCATCTAATCTTTTAAGTATTATACTCTACAAAATCAGTAGTATAATAGAATTTATTGAAAGAAAGTTTCATTCATATTATAGAAACACAGTGTTTAATAAATAAAAAAATACATAAAAATTGAAAATGGGGATATTTTCTTTTTGAATTTATTCACTTCTCAAAGGGTTCCTAAACTAATTAACTATCATTATTATTAATAATAATATCGACTACTTTAAACATAGTTTATTTTATAAGAAATAATCCGCGAAGTGATCCACTTTTAGATGTATTTATGTGGACAAATATATTTATACTTTAATTAAACAGAATCATCGGGGTTGCTTGCTATCTTTGAGGATATCAATAAATATGGAGAATAATAATAATAATTTTAATCCAACTGGGGAAATATCAATTAAGGATCAAGTTCAAGGGAAAATCACAAGGTGAGTTCTTGTTACCAGACATTGTCAATGATTTAATGTATTTTTAATAATAATAATAATAATAACGGTTTTATTCTGGACAGCATTTATTAAATGTACAGAATTTTCAGAGGAGTTGACTGCATGTATTTTCCCTTCGTATTAAGTAAAATATTTACTGACAGTATGTCATGTGGCACAATGGTCTCTGAACTGAAGCACATACCATTCCATTATGATATTTCTGCTTTATCTTCCCAAGAAATCCATGACATCTAGTTGAAAGCCAATTGTAAGATGTTCAGAAGTACATTTTGAGACCAACAGAGATGAAAGAAGAACCGTTATCTTATGTAGTGAGACACGTTGCAACTCACAGTCAAGCCTTTTCTCAAGTTTAGTAGGTACTTACGAACCAGAAGCCAATACAGGTCATATTTCAATCGATGGAGACAAACCGAACGGCAGAAAATATATGAAAGAGAGAGATGAAAGTTTTTGGTAGCCCAAGTTTTAAGCAGGCCGCACGTCATTCAATACTATATAATCTATCCTATATTATTATTATTATTACCATGGGTTCCGAGTGGCACATAGGGCTTCAACAGCATATCTCCAATTTTCCCTGATCTCTGAAGTCCTCTCTAGCTGGTCTCATGGCTGCACATAGTCTTTCATCTGCACCATGTCACCCTACGAATCATGCCCGACTCTGCGTTCTCCATTCGGGTTCCAATGGAGCGTCTACCTGAAGCCAGGTGTTACCCAACGGTCTCCTTAGAGTGTGTCTGACCGATCCGTATTTCCTTCGGAACATTTGTTGAGCTATAGTCCTAAGTTGGTTCGTGACCATAGTTCCTTTTCACCTTTCCTTGCTGGCCATCTGATCTTCAGCATGGAGTCAAAGAAGGCAGCTGCTGACAAAAGTCTGTAGCAGCCTTATTGACATAAGTATAAAACTTGGTCATTCTGGTAGAGTGTACCTCCATTGTGGGTAAGATTTAATTATGATAAATCACAGTAATATTAACTGATGACGTTTTGAGCACAAACTATTGCTGTTCATAATCATATCGAGTCACTCACACAACTTTTTGCTTCATATACATACATGAGTAAAATTGACTAGACATTTGAATAAAAATCAATATAGGATAATGTACATTCAGAAATAATAATATGAGTGTTATTGATCAATGGCAATCAGATGGGAAATAAGACGAGTGTTTTTATAGTCATAATAAGTAACTTGTTAGAATGTTGTGATGTGAAGTGAATACATTTTAACATTATTTATTATCCTCAGATTTGACTATTAATAATATCTTCCATATCTCAGTAATTACGTTGAGTCACTTCTGTTGGATGTATTGGGTATAAACTCGATGAACCAGGACTCAGTAATTAATCTCTCTTCTATCTCACCTACCTATATTACGTTTTAGAATTTTAACTCTGTCCCATTCCATTGTGTGTTTGTGTGTTAATGCATACAGCGCTATTGCTTAGTTTTTGTCTAAATCACTTATCTTCATGGGACCAATCATTCTAGCCTTAGCTAAATTCTTAGGTTCCGATAATCTCACTACTCCTGATCTACTAGTTTGACCTATGTAGTTGACTCAACTCACATTCATTGCAAGATATTTTGTCAATTATATTATTTCGTTTAATTGGATCCACCGGATCCTCTAGTCTACATAGCTTGTCTCTGAGTGAGTTTGTAGGTTTGAATGCCACCCTAATTCTTGCTTTTTTAAGAATCCTACGTAGGGTCTCAGTTGTCCCCTCTTTATACGGTATAATAGTGGATGAATTATATTCTTCCTTATTTATGTTATCATTATTAGTAATGTTATTATTAGCCTCTTGGAAATGCTTTTGGTGATGTATCAAGTCTTTGAAGCATACAGAAGAACCTACTCGATATTAGTGTTGAAAGTTCGGATCTCGTTCTCAGCGCTAAGTGGCTCAGAAGATTCCAAACTGATTTCAAAGTGATGAAGGTCTGTCTTACCTTTCTAATTCTGATTTTGATATCTCATCCATGTTACTTGTAGTTGAAGATGAACTTAATCCCGTTGACGGTCAGTAATTAGACTATACAACTAAATATGGCCTTTGTGATTACTGAAAGCCATCACCAGAATGTACCTCATAGCTTAGTTAAAGTTCTATGTATGTTTATGTAGCTTCTGACTGATCGACAAATCCTTTTCCACATATTTCTTCCACTTTCTCATATTCAAGCATAAAGATATCCACATGTAAGGTAGCACGTTACACGCGGTTTAACAGGTGTAACAGTCTAGGTAGAATGAATTTAATAGATGCATTTGTGTTTTCTAACCTATTTGGAATTATCTCACAATTTTCTTTTAAACTCCCTCCCTCATCATTGGTGATATAACTAGAAATCAATAGTTTAAAACCTCAAAGCAGAATTTCACTAAACATTCCTTATTTCACATTAGATTGTATATTTATTTGTTTTTTTTGTTTCCTCATGCTGATGAATAGACGTCTTTCTTTGACAGTAAATCATTATCTAGTTTAACCAGTTATAAAATGACTTCTTTTGTCCTTCTTTTGTTGTCTCGTAATTTGATTAAAATACATATAGGAAAAAGCTGTTAGTATTTATAAATATATAAATTTTTAAAAAATGCTTGATTTCTCAGCTTGACGGATTGTGCTCGACTACTTATTAACTAAGTGGTGCCTGAAAGAAAGTATTGGAGAAACATTTTTCCATTTTCCAAGCTTTATTGTATAAAATTTTACCGGTAGATATTTTATCCTTTAAACTATTTAAGAACTGGTAGACACTTCTTCGTTTCATTTTAAAAAAAAATGAGGAATTAGACATGAAAAGAGGTTATCTGTAGTTAATAATCATCAAATGTGTCGGTGGTTCAACGGTACAATGTTCACATTCACATTCATTCATGTGGTCGTAGTTCGATTCCAGCTGACGCATATCCCGCAAAACTAACCCAGTCTCTATGAAAACTTTAAAGCTGAGCTTGAAGCTCTGTATTCCACTGGGAACGCGAAGGAATGAAGGAGAAGATAACGAAGAATAGTTATAAAACGAATACACCATTTTCCATTGTAATAACCGTATTATTACTTATTCCTTTACGTTCCTTGTGGAATATAGGGCTTCAAGCTAGAGCTTTGAAGTTTCGGTAGCAGTGATGTTTATTTTCACGTTGTTGAATTGCCAGTCTTATACTCAACCTTCCCACTTTACCAGTCTTATCACTGGCTGAGATAGGTAAACGAGTGGCCGGAGACCAAACGCCGTGCCGAATGTGTGGCTGACGGCCATTCTACCGCTGGGCCACCAACGCACTACAACGGCCGTAGTGGTGCCTAAACAGTATTTCTATATTATGTTGTGCGTTGAAGTTTTGTATTAGTTTGTAATGTACCACGTTATTCGAAATTACAGAGAGATAAACAAATTTTTGTTATGATGACTTAATTATTACCTTAGCGTCTTTAAAGGGTTCACCTGGGGATCTAACAGTATGAACACAATACCCAGTGGTCGACTAAATCAATGTTTTATAGAACAGTTTATCCATAAGTGTTCATAATTATTTTCATCATAATTATAGAACTTTTTGTTGCTCAGAAACTCATAGAGTTGAATTGGAAAACAAAGTGAGCGACTGATTTCGACTAGGCGTTCTGAGGCAGCCTTGGTAAATCAACGAGATCTAATTTGAAAGAAGACCTAGTTCATGACAAGATTTAGCGAGTGAAATCAATTTAAACACTTTAAAACCTCAAAATCTGAACACAGCCATAATTAAATAAACTTCTTGATATATTATCATGTGAACGAATAATCACTAAACGATCTATTCTTGTTACGTAACACTGAAATTATTTCTGTCCATCTGAAATTAATTTAAATCAGCTGTATAGTAGTCTGATTTTCATTATTGGAATCCATTCTTCTCAGCAAATATTTCAAGTCATCAACCTTTCGTTTTCTATTTTATGACTATGTAAAAATGCAAAAGTTCTGTCGATAGCTCGGCAACAGTCCTCAGTTCCATCCGTGGACGACATATTCCTAAACCTCATCTAGCCAGGAGAAAGTCCGGAAGCAAGGAGAGGTTGATTATGAGGCTAGAGACGTTACCCCGTAGAAACACTACCACTGCTATTGTACTTTCAAAGCTTGAAGTCCTATGTTCCACTTGAAAAGCGAGGAATTGAAAAAAGATAGTTGCAAAAATAATTATATTTAAACATTCCTACAGAATAATTTACTCTTTTTGAAGTCAAATCTATCTCTCGGTTATTTGATATTTTCATGTCAATGAAGGTGTCCTTATATACTACTAATATATCTTATCAACAGCAAATGACACGGTATTGATAGCTGTGATGACAGCTAATAAGTTTTCGTGAATGCTACCGGTATGGATTGTTGAGCACAAAACTGATAACAAAATTATTCTATGAAACTCACTTTTTGATTCCCTTTGTCATGAAATCTATCAATGAGATGCTCAGTGGCGACTGGCTCTATTCAGGTAGGTAGTTACCTGGGGTTCTAGTGAGAAGTCGTGACCAGGAGGGTGCAGCAGGTCGGATGTGAGGACAAATACTCGCTGAAGACATTGGCTAGTGGTTGGGCTATATCGTTAATTGGCAGAAGTTAAAATTCATGGGCCATTGGATCGGGTCCCAGTGGCTTAATGGTCAACGAGCCAACTTGCTTGTAACCAGAGGGTCCTGTGTTCGAAGTGTGGTGGTAGGTGTGTACTGATGAAGAGTCACAAACTAGGACGAAACAGCTATCCAGTTCTCCCAGGTTTTCCAATGGTTCTGTAACCAATGTCAGCTCATGATGAAATCCTCTAACCAATCAACCAAATCCCTACAAACTAATACTTGAAAATCTATTTTAATTCTGCATATTAGGTCGTATGGAGACAATTTTTGCTATAGATTATCTAGTTATATCATAATAGTACAGGTTCATAGACTTATCTTCT